CCAGTGTTCTAACCCTGGAATACTTCACTTCATTAAAATGTTCCATATCTCTCTGAATGGCTTCTCTATCACATACTGAGGTCAATATTTCAGGTTAATTTCAGTACTTCCTGCATCTCAGCAAGGTTAATGTTCAAATTTAGTTCTGTAAATAATGTTTACTTGCATTTGTGCAAAATATGCAAACTTGAATTTTAAGAACCCTATTAATCAATAGGCAGCATTGTTTTCATAGTCAACATGGGAATAAACCTATTGTACATATTGTAAACCTACAGCTATGTTGCATTGATTATTGACTTTCCTCAGAAAGACTTTCATTTGCAGATTACAATTCAATCTGAATCTTCCAATTACATTACAGTCATAATAAACTGGGAAAGCAACATCCCAACAACAACCTAAATACGATCTCAATAAATCTACTATAGTTGCATTAAAATTATAACTCCCCCATCATAATTTATCAACACGCAGTATGATGAAACAGAAATAAAACAAAAACTCAAGTTAATAAAACCAACAAATAACACGGGGGCCTACAAACCAGAAAACTGATTTTGTGCTTCAGGTTAGTTTATAAACTACTTAAGCTTTTCTTTCAGGGCTTATTATCTGAGTCATAGGTTTGATAAAGAGTAGAAAACACATGATTTAAGAAATTATGAAAACATGCGAACACCCACAGCACAAGGCAACACCAAACATGAGAACAGTAAATGAGAAGTTGAGGTAAGTCAGGCACAAATGATCAAGCGATGCCTCTTCTGGCTTCTTAAAATATATTGCAAATTGTAAGAGAAAGGAAATACTGAACAAGTTGTTCCAGTTTTCAGTATTAGGAAAGAATTATTCATCATACCTCATGTCTAATTGTTGAATACAACACAGCAGAGATACAGCTAGGAGAAAGTGTGCATAATGTGGCATTTTTGGAGCCCGGATAAAACAAGCCACTAGTTATATTTCATTTGTTCAACTAACTATGAAAGAATGTCAAAATAAAATGGAATAGAATAGAATGGTAAAGTAGCTAGTATTGATACTTTTAAGACTAAGACTGGAAAATTAATAAATGGCAGAAATAAGGTCATGGCAAATTCTGAACAATTATTTTAAATTTGTCTTCAAAGTAGAAGACACAAAAAGCCTCCCAAGAATAAGGGGAAATTTGAAACTGAAAGGTAGGGAAGATTCACAACAATCAGTACTTTGATAGAAAAAGTACTAGGAAAACTAATGAGATTAAAAGCTTACAAATTCCCTGGATGTGACAGTGTGCATCCTAAAACAATTGGCCACAGAGATAGCAGACGTGTCGACTAAAATCTTCTAAAACTTCCTTGAATACAAAAGGTCTGAGAAAATTGTAAAACTACAAATAGCACATCCATTCAAAAAAAAAGAGAGCAGGGAACAATTAACCAGTCACTGGGAACATACTGGGATCCATACTGAATAGAAACAGGTCATATAGAAAATCACAATAAAACTGATTATGTTTGAAAAATTTATAACAGTTCTTTCAGGATGATTATGATGTGAATGTACAAGGCACGATTAGTAAAGTTTGCAAACGATACAAAATTAGGAAGCATTGTTAATGGCGAAGAAGGTTATCAAAAATTACAGAGGATCTTGATCAGGCAGACAAGTGGGCTGAGGATTGACAAATGCAATTCATACAGATAAGTGTGAGGTGTTGCACTTTGGAAAGTCAAACCAAGGTAGGACTTATACAGGGTGGTGAAGAAGGCATTTAACATGCTGGCCTTCATCGATCAAGACATTGAGTGTACGAGTTGGGACATTATGTTACAGTTATATAAGTCATTGATGAGGCCGCATTTAGAGTATTGTGTACAGTTTTGGTCACCCTGTTATAGGAAAGACATAGTTAAACTGGAAAGTGTGCAAAGAAGAGTTACGAGTCTGTTGCCAGGACTAGTAGCCTGAGTTATAGGGAGAGATTGGCCAAGAGAGTACTTTATTCCTTGGAACGTTGGAGAATGAGTGGTGACCATGAGGGCGTAGATAGGATGAATGCATATAGACTTTTCTCCAGGATTGGGGAATTGAAAACTAGAGGGCATAGGCTTAAGGTGAGAGGGGATAGATTTAAGAAGGACCTGAGGAGCAACTTCTTCACACAAAGCGTGGTGTATATATGGAATGGGCTGCCGGAGAAATTGGTTAAGGTAGGTAGAATTGCAACATGTAAAAAACATTTGGATAGGCACATGGATGAGAAGGGTTTAGAGGGATATGTACCAAATGCAGGCAATTGGAACTAGCTGATAGAGCACCATGAACACAGCAGGCCAAGCAGCATCATAGGAGCAGGAAGGCTGCTTGGCCTGCTGTGTTCATCCAGCTCTACACCTTGTTATCTGAGATTTTCCAGCATCTGCAGTTCCTACTATCTCTGAGAGAGCACCATGGTCAGCATGGACCAGGTTGGGCCAAAGGGCCTGTTTCCATGCTGCATTACTCTATGACTTTTATGACTCTATGTAACAAGCAAGGCAGATAAACAGGAACATGCAGATCTATTGTATTTTGACCTCCAAAAAGGATTCAATATGATGCAACACAAAGGGTCAGCATACAAGTTACAAGGTCATGGTTTAGAAGCAATGTCTTAATATAGATAGAAAATTGGTTACATAACAACAAACAAAGTCAGATTCAATATCTTGTCTAATTGCAACAAGTGCAATATCAACCTGATTAGAGCTGGGATCTCAACTACTTGTTATCTATATTGATAACATGGTTGTATGGACAGCGTGTATTGTAGCCAAATTTACTTGTGACACAACGATAGGTTGGAAAATAACTTGTGAGGAAGCCACGGAATGGAGTGGGCAAAAATTTGGAAGAAGAATTATAATGTGGAAAATTGTGACATTGTCCATTTTGGCAGAAAGAATAGAAAACTAGATTATTATTTAAACAGAGAGAGCTTGGTGAATGCTGCTGCACTGAGGTCAGATTCACAAAAAGTTCACACACAGATAAAACAAAGCATTAGGAAGGCAAGTAGAATTTTGGCCTTTACTCCAAGGGAGTTCAAGTATATAGATAGGGAAGGCTTGCACAGGACATCCATAAGATTTCATTCGGAGTATAGTTTTGGTTTCCTTACTTAGGGAAGAATATATGTGCACTGGAAACAGTTCCACAAAGGTTCACTATAGGCTGGTTCCAAGGATGGAAGGTTTTAAGAACATAGTACATAGTACAGTACAGCACAGTACAGGCCCTTCAGCCCACGATGTTGCGCCGACCTATTATCCTACTAAGATCAAACTACCCTGCATACCCTACATTTTACTATCCTCCATGTGCCTAAGAGCCGCTTAAAAGTCTCTAAAGTATCTGACTCCACTACCACTGCCAGCAGCGCATTCTACATACCCACCATTCTCTGCGTGAAGAACCTTCCTCCAATCTCCTTAAAATTATGTCCCCTCATAATAGTAATTTCTGCCCTGGGAAAAAGTCTCTGGCTATCCACTCTATCTATGCCTCTCATCATCTTGTACACCTCTATCAAGTCACCTCTTATCCTTCTTTGGTCCAATGAGAAAAGCCCTAGCTCCCTCAACCTTTCCTTATAAGACCTGCCCTCCAGTCCAGGCAGCATCCTGGTAAATCTCCTCTGCACCCTCTCTAAAGCTTCCACATCCTTCCTATAATGAGGTGACCAGAACTGAACACAATATTCCAAGTGTGGTCTAACCAGGGTTTTATAGAGCTGCAGCATAACCTCGCAGCTCTTAAACTCAATTCACCTGCCAATGAAAGCCAACACACCACAAGCCTTCTTTACAACCCTATCAACTTGGGTAGCAACTTTGAGGGATCTATGGACGTGGACCCCAAAATCCCTCTGTTCCTCCACAATGCCGAGATTCCTGCCATTAACCCTGTATTCTGCATTCAAATTCTTATGAGGAAGGGCAAATCGGTGGAACTATACACAATGGAGTTCAGAGCAATGAGAGGTGAGCTTAGTGAAAAACGTTAGATTCTGGGGAGGTTAAAATGTTTCCGCTAGGAACACAAGGCGCGTTTGAAAATAAAGGGTGTCTCATTAAGACAGTCAAGGAGGGAGTTTGTCTCTTAAAGGAACGTTTGTACATTCAGGAAAGTGCATGTTCAGTTGAGGAGTAGGCTAAGAGAGCAGAATACGCTGTTGTGGCTCTGGCATATCTTTTACGCTCCTGATAGAGGCTTCCAGGTGGATATTGACCAGAAAGAGAACCAGTCAATTTCCATTCCCTAACCCAGCGATGCCGAGGCCTCGGGTAGCTCAGCGCGGTTCACCATAGAGCTTTCCTATTCTGTATAATTCCGCTAATCACCATGTTAAAAGACTTTAAACCTCGGGACCGATCGAGTCCATCTCACAGAAGCTGGCTGTACATAATTGGTAATAATATGCATTTACTTAAAGCTGTAGACATTAGCCAAGTGCGACAATTCAAATCCTGCAATAGCACCATGAATAGCTCTCAACCTCCCTCCTCCACCACGCCAACTCAAACAAAAATCTCCGAACAAGGTTCAACCAAGGCGAAGTTACCCAGTTGCCCGAGTTTTAACGGACTGTTTAGACAGTCAGTGGTTTGCAGGCTGAAGTTTGGAGTGGCCTCTGCTGCGTTTTAAATGGGGATATCGTGTAGCCCTGGCTTTTATTTTCCTGTTCGATCGGGGGTAGGCCCAGTAAAGCCCTGGTCTTGTCGGTAATGAAGCCGGGGTACTCGCTCATGCAGGCGCAGGGCAGCGATCGCTACACTGGGGAGCCGCGGAGACATTGTATCCTTCGGCAGCGTTCGATACCTGGGCCGACGTTCCACAGCCGAGCGCGGCGCCATCGCAAGGTGCAACGTTCCAATGTTTCCCCGGACAGTGCACAGGCCAGAAGCGGTCCCTCTCTGTGCAAAAAACCAAACACCCACTTCAGAGAAAATCGTAATGAAGCGTTGATCCTCGATTGGGGTTGCCAGAAAATGCAAGATGAACTGGTTAAGATGCTACACGAGTGTCGCCGGTTGTTTTGTCAGTTACTTAAAAGTCATTTTGTTCATGCAACATTTAGAGGATTTGATGTAAACTGCTTTTTTAAATAACTACAATCTGACCCCACAACCAAAGATGTATTTCCCTCCCCATCCCTAACTGCCTTTCGTAGGGACCGCACTCTCTGCGACTCCCTCACCTGCTCCACACTCCCCCCTAACCCCATCATCCCCCCCCAGCACCTTTTCCTGCAACCACAGGAAGTGCTACACCTGCGGCTAGACCTCCCCTCTCACCTTCATTCAAGGCACAAAACAAACCTTCCACTGCAGACAGAGGTTCACCTGCACATTCATCAACATGGTCTACTGCATCCGCTGTTCCCAACGTGGCCTCCTCTACATCGGTGAGACCAAGCGGAGACTTGGAGACTGCTTTGTACAGCACCTGCGCTCTGTTCGCGACAAACAACAACACCTTCTGGTCGCGAACCATTTCAGCTCCCGCTCCCACTCCCTGGGTGACATATCCATCCTGGGCCTCCTCCAGTGTCACAATAACACCACCCGCAAACTGAAGGAGCAGTACCTCATATTCCACCTTGGGAGCCTGTAGCCCAATGGCCTAAATGTGGATTTTACCAGTTTCAAAATCTCCCCACCCCCAGTCTCATCCCATGACCAACTCTCCCTCTCATCCATGCCTCCTTAACCTGACACAATCTGTCCATCATCTCTCCCACCTATCCGCCCCTACCATCTCACTGACCAATCCCCACCACTGCCTACCTGCACTCACCTGTCACCATACCACCTACCTTCCCCAACCCCACCCCTTCTCTCTATTTATTTCTGAGCTCCTTCCCCCTCCCCATTTCTGAAGAAGGGTCCTGACCCAAACCATCAACTTTCCTGCTCCTCTGATGCTGCCTGGCCTGCTGTGTTCCTCCACCTCCACACTGTGTTATCTCTGACTCCAGCATCTGCAGTTCTTACGATCTCTTATAATCCATTGATTTTTTTTTTAGATAGGGTATACAGACTTGCATATAATTCAAATTATTTTACAGCATTGACATACAAAATACACAGGCCACTGTGTAGAATAACTTGCATTTATATCTTTCCACACACAAATGCATCACTAAGTGTTTACAATAGAAATTCTAAGGGTCACTCGACCCGAAACATTAACTCTGATTTCTCTCCACAGATGCTGCCTAAACTGCTAAGCTTTTCCACCAATTTCTGTTTTTGTACCCTTCTGGATAATGCCGTTTCAAGTGGTAACAATAATGTTAAAAAAACACAATTTCCATTGTACTTCCTTACATTATTTTAAAGCTATAGACTCTTGTTACCGACCAGAAAAGAAATGTTTTTTTCTCTCGATTTATTCCATCAAAACCCCTCACATTATTTTGATTACTTCTAGTACATCTCCACATAATTTCCCTATTCTGAGGAAACGCAATCGTAACTTGTCCAAACTTTATCAGAATGATGTACAATATTTAAAAGTTGTGTCATAATTAGTAAATCATAAATGTTTCATTGCCTTGATTACAAAGACCCTGTATCTCATGCACTTCATCTCGCCTTATCTTCACCAGCCACCTGTCAAAGTTTTGTGAAGTGCGTATGTAATTTGATTTTTAGATATTTAATTTGTTTCCTCTAAATTTCAGTCAATTCAATTTGTGAATAATTAGATAAATCTACTTTCATATTACTGAAAAAAAAAACATTTTGTCAAGTTTTTTTGTGCTCAGGACAATTTGCAAGAAATACGAACAAAGGGAGAAAATGCTTACTTTGTTCATATTCATCTTAACTAATTAAGGTACAAACAATGATTGAATAGTGAATTTCAGATTATTAAAGAAAGAAGGCATACTTAGACTTCCAAATAATAACTTGCAAATTCATCCAGTTGGGCAGCATGTGGTTAGCACTGCTGCCTCACTGCGCCAGGGACCCAGCTTCCGTTCCAGCCTTGGGGGACTGCGTGGAGTTTGCATATTTTCCCCATGTCTGCTGGGTTTCTTCTGGGTGCTCTGGTTTTCTCCCACAGTCCAAAGATGTGAACGTTAGGCGGATTGTCCATGTTAAATTGCCCCACAGTGTCCAGGGATGAGCAGGCTAGGTAGATTAGCCATGGGAAATGCAGGGTTACAAAGAACAAACCAGCACAGGAACAGGCCCATCAGGCCTGTGGCGACACGTTCTGCCCTTCCAAACTAAAACTGTCTTCACTAACAGGATCCATATCCCTCTGTTCCCCTCCTATTCATGTATTCATACAGGTCCTTCTTGAATAGTGCTATTGTGTCTGCTTCCACCACCAGCACATTCCAGGCACTCACCACCCTTTGTGTGAAAAACTTACCTCACACATCTCTTTTAAATTTCCCACCCCAGACTTTGAACCTGTGACCCCTTGTAATTGACCCCCCCACCCTAGTTATGGGGACAAGGTGGGTTGAGTTGGGATGCTCTTCGGAGGGTCAGTGCAGATCAGTAGGCCAAATGGCTTCTGACTGCACTGTAGGGTTTCTATAATTCACTGCCCATTGAAGCATATGTTTGGTTTCACCCGCTCAAGATGTTATTTTATATATGACCCCACTTGCAGAGATTGATGTATTCTTAAAAATATTGAGTACTTGGCTAACAAAAAAAATGCAGACCTCTGGGTTTTAATCCTTAGATGAACACCACATCAAGGGGTCAGGAGAGTTTTTTTTAAATTAATCTGTTCAGAGGTATTATTATACACAGCCGGAGCAGATGGGACTAGAACCTAGGCCTTCTGGAACAGAGAAAGGTACACTACAAATTTGCTACAAACCTTTGTTGTTGGCATTGATTGGGTCAGTCTGGCTGTTGTTTTGTAAATTTCACGTGTTCTTTTCTGTAAATTGACAGTGGTTGCATGTTCATCACTGTGCTAAATCCAGATTTTCTAATTTTTCAGTTGATAATACCCAATCCAAATGAACAAATGTGTATCATGCATGACAGAGAAGAATCTTTCTTAACCAATCTTAATCTGATCGTGAATACTCCATTCATAGTACTCGATTCAGACTCCACCAAGACTATAGTTTCTTGAACACAATTTAAAAATTTTTCTAGATTCATCCAAATTTTTCCATTTAATTTAAAATAAATCTTTCCAATACACTTATTAATTGCATAAATTCACTGTTTAAAACTAAATTACTTTTATAATTATCTATTTAGTGACTGGCTACTGCTTCTTTTTGTATATGTAGTTAATGACCTGAAATGTCTACAGAAGCTACATGTTACTGTTAACATGGATTCCTTGACCTTGTTACTTAATATAGTGAATACAATAAAAAGGTGACTATTTCAAAGCTAGAAAATGACAAACCGGGACTCCCTATATATGCCCTCAAAATAGCACCACTGTGATTATATCACTCTCTCCAAACTTATTTGAAGATTCTTAATTTCACACTTTGATGCAGTTTAATGTAGGTGTCCTATATCTGCTAATTTCAGCAACCTATTTTCTACAAAGAAGTGGGAGATGCATGTCAAATGAATTTTTCAAGCAGGAACCAAGCCAAATTCAATAAGTTGAGAGGGCACATGAAGAGGAAAATAAGACTAGCAAATAAATAGGCTGTTAATATAAAGGAGAACTAAAATCTTCAATGAGCATTTAAATTGTAAATGGAAGGAAAAGACAAGATTAAGCTTGTTTGGGACAATGAGTGATACGTGTAAGGTAATATCAGAATACCTCAATTAGTACCTTGTTTAGTGTTTATTATAGGAAGGGTGACAAAATATCAGCAGAAGCAGAAATAGTAAAGATAATAGATGCAGTGAATATTAATAGAATGTACAGGAAGGTTGCTTGCACTTAAAGTAGATTAATTCCATGGTCCAGATGAGTTGCATCCCAAGTGCTAAAGGAAGAGAGGTAGAGGTAGCAAAAGTGCTGGCCATAATCTTTCCAAGAAGCAGGGAAAATGCCGCGCCAGATGATTAGAAAGAGAAAAATGTGTCGCCCTTACTCAAGAATAGGTAAATACATTCTATTTGTCATATTTTCAGAAACCACAATGTGGTGGCAATGGCTTCGTGGTATTATTACTGGGTTATTAATCCAGAGATCTAGGCAATGTTCTGGGGGACCTGGGTTCAAACTCTGCCATAGTAGATGAAGGCATTTGAATTCAATAGAAATCTGAAAGTAAGAATCTAATGATGACTATGACACCATTATTGATTGTCAAGAGAAAGCCTTCTCGTTCACCAATGTACCTTAAGGAAGGAAACTGCCATTCTTACATGGTCTGGCCTGCACGTTAGCTTGCCTTAATATTCATTTGTGGGTGGCACAGTGGCTCAGTGTTTAGCTTTGCTGCGTCACAGCACCAGGGACCCAGGTTCGATTCTACCATCAGGTGACTGTCTGTGATGAGTTTGCATGTTTTCCCTGTATCTGAGTGGGTTTCCTCCAGGTGCTGCAGTTTCTTCCCACAGTCCAAAGATATGCAGGTAAGTAGATTGCCAAGCTAAATTGCCAATAGTGTCCAGGGATGCACAGGCTTGGAGAATGGATTAGCATTGGGAAACACAGGGTTACAGGGACGAGGTAGGTCTGGGTGGGATGCTCTTCGGAGGGTCGGTGTGAACTTGATGGACCAAATTGCCTGTTTCCACACTGTAGGGATTGTATGATTATTCTGGCTTGAATTGTTCACTGCCACTAACCTCTTCAACTCTGTTAAATAAGGCTTGAACAAGAAAAACAGGCCCTGATGGGGCATCTCTTGTTTTCTATTTGGGGTCCAGAATTATCAGTGGTTGAGGAT